AAGACGGGGAGACGTGGCTCTTAAGGACATGGTTTAGTGGTGGGCTTGGCAGTGATAGGTTAACGGTTGGACTCCATGATCTGAAGGGTCTTTTCCAACTTTCACGATTCTTTGATTCTATGCATGAGCGGTTAGGCCGCTTTAATTATCACCACCACAGATATTTGTAAATAGTAACTTTAATAGAAATTTAGAAAAGGGTGATTTAACAGAGTTCGATGGCACTCTATTACTTATTAAATGAACGGAATATATGGAGAGAAAGAGAGAGAGGGAATGGAATACAAGGAGGGGGTGAAGGAGGCCCTCCCGTTGAGTGACGAGGTTGGGCATGGACCCCCTCGCTTTCTAAACTCCTTCTCAGAGAGGAGCCTCGGTGCGGCTGGATCCAATCCTAGTCTCAGACTTGGTCTACAGTTTATGTCTAAGGATTATATGTATTTAGCAGCAGTTTAGGGTTATTCACAATAAGGAGAGAATCACAAGGATTTAGTAGTAACTAATCATTGGTTACTCCAGCATCTACAAAGTGATTAAATAAAGCGTGCTACAGTATTTGTATAATACACACACTCACAATCGCACAATAGGCCTAATAAAGGAATACCTCTTAAAATCCCTCGCGAGTTTGATATGCACAGATAAAGATACCCATCAAAAATTCCCCTCAAATTCAGTGAAATACTCACTTCAATGATTGTCTCAACGGGCGAAGGGTTGAACCTCAAGGAGCGAAGGGCACCGGAGATCAGCCCAGGTCCTGTCGCCAGGCCTCCGTATGCAAACTGAAGAGTTCGCAGCTCCGAGGGAGACACGGGCACAGCCCGCTGCGGGCCAGGAGAGCTCAAAGGGTCTCCCGCGGTGCCGCTGTTTGTAGGGGTGTGAGATGATGGACTTCAGGCATCAGTAAGTTTCCATTCTGGCCACAGCTGCGGTCGGTTATTGCTGAGTTCTCAGCAAGACAGGTATGATCCTCCCGTACCGATCCGCCTGAGTGACGATCCACAATGATACGTCCTCAAGCTGCCAAGGGGTGACTGATGATGCCAGGTGAGATCAAGGCATCCTTGTTCCCAGCTCAGCCATGCAAGAGCGCCTGGTATGACCAAGGGGCGCCTGGTCGCCGGACTCATTGCTCAGAGGCCAAGCCTTGGCAGGGCTCCCTGTGGTCGTAAGGTGGCCCAGAGGAAAGGGCGGGGGGGGATGCACCACCACGCACATCTGAAGGCACATGTCTGCTCTGGGAATTCATAATGTAAAGAAGATGGTGGTAATTTTTTTTTTTCCCCCTCCTCAATCATTCAATCATTTCTAGATTAAA